AGATAGCTCCAAAGATCTTGGCCAAATATTTTCTTTGGACCAAAACACGGAAAAACAGACAGAAATCATTAATGTTGAAAGATTTTCCAGTTCCATTTCTCCTCAGTCGTTTAGACTCGCATTGTTTTAGGAGCAAAACCAGGTTGTATGAGTTTGAGCAACTGATCTAAAGCAATGTCCCCCGAGGGGCTGGAACAAAGCGGAGGGGGGGGACTTAACGCAGTGAGATCACCCTCCTCTCCCTGGCCCTGGAGATGAGTGACATGCAGTTTGTGAACAATTCACTCGCTGTGAATGACTCCTTTTAGCCGATCTGAGTGGGTGAGACGATGGGAAAGTGTTTTTCTACAAAGTCCCAAAGGCTATTTCTTCAAAGTTTGCCCAGAAATCTCTTTCTGAAACAAATGGACTCTTGGCCTTCTCTGAGGATTACTGCAGCAGCACTCCTGAAGCCAAAGCATAGCAGTTTATGAAAACTTGCAGACCCTCAAAGTTCTGCATGACTGTGCAAACCGCAGCGGGTAATAACAAACAGGATGCGGAGCACGATGGAGAGTATCTGGCAGTATGAGGATAGCCACTAATTTTCCACTTTTATAGAAATTCAGCCTGCAATTAGGGTCAAACGTTGCCAGAAACTTGATATCCATGTTACTTGCATTAGTAATATATATCTGATACTGGCCTTCGCTGGAAGTTCACCCCCGACTCTGTCCGTCAGACGACCACGGCAGATGAAAAGGAAAAATAGGGTCAGGAAGAACACATGAAAAGAGCAGGATAGATAGCAAGGAAAATCATGAAAGAGTGTTTTTTTAAAAACCTTTGCTGATCTAGAATAGGATTTGACTGATTTATTTCAGGAACAATGGATCAAAGCACACATGAGACAGGATGACGAGGGGAATTCTGGGTCGTCTGAGGTCACATTGGGGTAGAAACATGTGAAATGTGTGCAATGTGAACAACTTCCTGATAACACAGTTTCATTCATTCGATCGGTCATTTGCCTGGATCAGGTCACAAGTACAAAACAGCTGCTACTTTCTGGAGTAATTCTGTTTCTGTTCACATTTCACTGATTTACATTTTTTTATAAATTACATTTATATTACTTTACTCTTTATAAAAACTAGGAAATAAGAGCAGTTCTTTCAGCTTTACATTTGAACAAATTCTGCTCCAAGTGTATGCTTCCAACTTTCAACAAAACCAGCCTTGAGAAAATAAATGTACAGAACCCCCATCTACCAATCCATTAAATACAAAAACACACGTACCCACACCGCAGGACTTTGCTTTTTCAGGAAGAAATGTATGTTTAAATAAAATGCTCAACCTTATCTCAATGAAAGGGTTTGAACCAAGGTGCAGACAGTGCTGCGAATTAAATCTGCTTTAACATTTCCTTTAATTAATTATTTAATTTCCTCTGCGCAGTAAGTCCAAATAAGTGCTGTTGAGTTGATTTGACAAGTCTTTATTGTTCATAGGTTTGAATATGTGTCTGTCTAATGTGTCAAGCTTGTCCAGTGTCCCCTGCCTTTAACAAAATATCTGCCGGGTTATGCTCTTGAGCAATCTTGATTGAAACATTAAGGTTTTTATATGCAAATAATTGAAGGGTGTTAAAAACCTCAGTCAATTTAATGGAAAGGAAAGTTTTCTTTTAGGTAAAACATCTTTGTTTTATCATCTGGTTGTCTAAGAAAAACATATGACCTCAGGTTATCGGGTCACACGTTTGTTAGAATCCCTGCTGTGGAGGGTGATGCGATTTCCTGCTTGCATGGGCAGCACCTGGCACTGGGATGTGTTTTATGGCACAGAGATGGTTTAATGGTGTTCTTTGTACTTTGTGAGGCTGTATGTAACTCAGTGTAGAGACTGACTTATTATGAGGCGCGCCATGTGTTCACTCATTAAATATCTCTAAGAGGATTGATTGAGAATAATGTGTTTGCGTTTTGTTGCGTCTGGACAGCTAATTATTTTTAGATTTTAAGTTGCTGTAAGACAACCTACAGCCTGATCACATGCAGTGCCTAATGAATCTAAAATAAATCCTTCACAATCACTCAAAACGGTGTCAACATTCAGGATGGAAAATACAGCATCATAAACGCAACATACCCCGAGTGAAACCATTAGACATAAAAACAGCCAGGCAGCGCTAACTACAAACACATGAAGTCAAATTCCTCCTGCTTGTCTTGTGGACTTTGTCAGCAACCCAGACAAAGAAAGGAATAATTACATGTGAAGGATGGAGGACGAAAGAAAGGGGGGAGGGAAGGAAAAAAGTATTTTGCTTGTGAAGCTAAAAAACGTTTACCTTTATCACAAAAATGTAATCCTGAGGTGATTTCAAGCCCTAAATAAAGTTTCTTTTGTCACGTTTTTAGTCAAGAACTGTGGCAATGACAAATTGTGATCCATAACTTGGCTGTGCAAAAATAAAAATACTAAGTTCACTTTTATTAGCTCCATAAATTACTGCATTTCTCCCCATATGGGCTCCCAAGATGTAGTTTACAGTATGGGGCTGAGGCTTGTGATTTTAGTTTGAGTGGAACAGCCAAGGTCTCTCGGGGCAAACACACACATCAGTCATCCTTATTGAAACAGACGTGGACAGGCAACAATGAAAAATCACCTCCTCCTCGCCAGAGTACGGTTGGTCAAGTATGAAAAAATGGTGAGGAAGCGTTTCAACTGCAATAGAAGCCAGGTTCATAATGTCTCGTCTTTTTTGTGCATCACTTTGACTAGACTGAATTTACACAGAGTTCCTTAATATCGGAATCGAATGCCATCACAAGAATTTTAGTAAAATATTTTGAAATTTGTGTCTGCACACATTCACATGCTCCTCCGGATGGATCTTAATGACTTTGGTGATCCAAATACCATCAAGTCAATGTTCATTTTCCATTTAGTAAACATCAATGTCAATGAGCCTTAGCTGTACTTTGAGTTTAATTAGCCAATCTCAGCATGATAAAACACTAATCTTTGATTGTTGTTAATCTTAAACCGGCTTTTAAAACGTAAACATTAGCTTTTTCGTAGTGAGCCTGGAGTGTAGCAGTACTCCCTTGTGTGATAAAGGAGGCATAACTCAACACTTTTTGGCACAGACCAGCCGCTTACTGTATACTAATACTGTTAACAAATGTTGCAACTGGAAGCCCTCTTTATCCTATAATATTCATGGTACACATTTGTATGTACAAAAACAAAGTAACTGAAACATGACCATAGCATGCGAGGACAGGACACAGCAGAGTGGTCAGAGTTTAAGCCCCACAACACACAACAGACAAGTCCTAGTAGGAAGAATTAACATTATAAATAAGATGGATACAAATAAACAAGTCAACTTCATGGCAGTAAAACAGAGAAGTGAGCTCATGTTTTTTTAAATATTGACAATCAGAAGAAATAAGTTATTGACGTGGAAATTACGCTATGTGAGCATACGTTTTTAGCTCGTAGCTTGAATCACAAATGTGCAGCCTCACGTAGCAACTTGGAAGGTTGTGGAGAATTTCTTTTATTTAACAAGGTGACTAATTGAAAACATGAAGTGCTGGTTTTCTTTTCCTAAAGGAAACACCAGCAGACCCTAGTAGGCCCGTTACCTACAGAAACATTGGAGCCAATGGCAGGTTAAAGATCTCAAAGTAAGAAATGTCTCCGGTGGATTTCTTCATGCGGAGCGATGAATGACAGCGGAGTGAAAGACTTAGGTGTAGCTGCTGGAGAAAACATGAACAGAAAGGGAGGTTAAAGAAAAAAAAGAAAACATATATAATGTATTGACCAATCAGATGCTCTGGAATTGTCAATACAAAAATAAAAATGAAACCGAAGTAGGCAGAGAAAGTAACGGCATTTAAAAAAATAAAATAAGGCAAGATAAATAAACTGAGTCCACAGATAGCCGGTCCTGTGGAGGGACCACCACTATGCCGAGGTAGTGCCTGACATCTGCTTTGCAGCTTGGCTGTGTGTGCACAGTGGTTTGTTGAGAAGGCTGTGTGTGTATATCATCTTTGGCTCCGGTCCATGGGATTTTGACAGTTGGCTGCAGGCTAGGTTGTCTGATGCAAAGATTTCACGGGGAGAATAAAGAGCTAACTAGGAGACAAGACGAGAAGCTGTTCCCTGCAACACTTTCCCGCCTCGCTCCACAGGTCAAACGATGCGCGAGAGGAAAGCTTGTAAATGTCCGTCTGGTGTCCAGCTTAACTGCAGAATAATCCTGTGAGAGTTCCTGATGTAAAACATGTTTTAGCAGCCATGCAACCCTGCCTCTCAATTCCCTCACTTTTATGCCACCATATGGAAGACATTTGGTTCTCCTGGAAATTGTGTTGACATTTTCATCTGTCAAGACAATTTTGCGTCTCAAATGTTTCTGTTTTCCCTCTGAAAGTGCACCGGAAGTAAAACTGGACAAAAGTTTGAGAAAAGAAGGTCGAAATAGGGCCAATTCATCTTTACGATTTATATTTCCTTTCAAACTTGCACGAGTTCTTCGAAAATGATTGATTTATTAGCACTGAATCACACAAAACATACTGAACATGCCAAAAAGCATCAGCGGGGAATACCTGGAAAGCAGGAAGATTTACAATCGGGGTTAGAACCTTTTACTACTTTGTTCTGCTGTTTTGCTCAACGCATTTATTTTTCAATATGTCAGATGAAAGAATCAAATAATGTTACACTGTTGTTTGCACCTTGACCATAACAACTGTTTCAAAGTGTTGCATGAAACTGTAGCTGGAAAAGTCATGAAGCAAAACAAAGAAATATAAAGACAGAAGATTAATTTATGATGAAAGGTTTGTATATTTAGAGGCTCTCATTTGTGGATGTATTACACTTCACATATAGTGCATTTCTTTCAAATTCTACCCAAAAAGTAACATACATATGGATGTTATGAAGACGACCTCAACTGTGACAATTCAAAATAACCACAAAGGACATTTAATAAAAGTTCATTTATTTATTTAAAAACTGCAAACACTGTTACAGAAATAAGGATGCTATTGGCAAAGCAAACCATATGTCTGCTGCTTAGAGAGAGCAGAAGTTATAATAAAGTAACTACACAAAGTATAATAAGATAAGCAAAACTTTCAAAGCCAACCCTGTACCAGGCTCACTGGCTGATCTAAATGAGTGCTCAGCACCCTGTTTTCAAATACATATACACTTTCCTTAAGTGGGATGTGATTGAATAACTTGTGGAAAAGGCACTCTTAGAAATAATTAACTGAATGTTGAGAAGCATACACTTTGGGATAGTTTCCTGCGTATGAATAGATACAAAGAAATTAAAAGCAGGTCGAAAATAATGATGTGACGTAATGTTTGGTCTTGCAGCTTTTTAAACTTTGGCACATCTGCTACTCTGTAACTCATATAAACACTCGTGTTCGTGATATGAAATCATCGTAGCATAATGAACAAATGGATGTTTATATCACCTTGTTCTGGTCAAAAGAGTTTGATGAGAACAAGGTGATATACTGTATAAAGAGCTTGAGTTGGAGCATTTTGATGATACTATTTCTGAATTATGATACTAATTCTAACATGTGTACAATGCATAGTGTGTCCAGCACAGAATCAAACAAGATATTAAATGTATCAATGCTTTGACATTGTCCACTTAAAGTGCAGCTGCTAGCTGAGCGCTCTGTCCAATGATTGGAAAGATATTGTGCTGCCACTGAATGGAACTAATAAAAAGGCCCAAAAAGGCAAAAGTTGCGGGGTTAACATAGAAAGTAAATAATTCAGACAACATAATGATATTGGACAGACAGGTAGAATAAGAATTAAGAGTTGAGGAGAATTACATGAAGAACTCTTACTCCTATGAAGCCATTTAAATCCTTAATCCCTTATTTAATTCCATAAAACAGGTCAAGTGAAAGCACACACACACACACACACACACATTTAGACATGGATATTCTCCTCTGTTTGTAGGTGACAGACGGGAAATACAACTGAACATATAACAGGACCTTAATCTGGATTGTTCCTTTTGAATGAGCACATTAATAATGTTAAAGATATAAAGAATGTAATGAAGTGCTCTGTCTTTGTCAATGTCAATTGTACTGTTTTTTGGTGGAGATGACCTTTTTTAGTGGCTGGTCCCTAGCAGTGTCCTGGTCGGGGTGAGTTTGGGACGTCTTTGACCCGTAGAGCTGTTTGAGGCTGAGGGTCTGCTGCTCCTTGGTTGTTGCCCGCTGGGCCTGGCGTAGCAGACGTTTCATGGTCTTCACCTTTTCCCTCAGGTGGTCGTTCGCTTTCTCCAAGGAGCGCACCTTCTGGGAGAGAACCCAGGCCTTCTCCTCCTCCTCAAACAGAGCCTTCTGCACGGCAGAGCACAACAGCTGTGAAGGGAAGTGAAAAAGATTGTTTGATACAACTTTTCAAGGAAATACATGTGAATGAAAGGCATGCAGAGCATTTGATGAAGTGCACTGCAGGCAAACATGTGTTTAAAAGTTCATGGTGTAGTACCGTGCTTTATACAAACAGTCTATGACAGTGCCATGCACTTTCAACAGGTTAGTCCCAGTGGGCTAATGCTGCTGGGACTAACCTTAGAGTTTGTATTTGCAGTATTTTACTGTGTCCAGGCAGGATTTTATGTTGGACATGAAGACAGTACATTTAGGTTTCTATTTAAAACAGAAATGCTGGCATCAATATGGCTTCTCTTTTCAAACTTTCTGTTCAAACTTTATAATGCCAGTGTGCTATGACTATGACTTAAAGTTGGCTGTAGATGTCTTCGGACATGTGCATTTTTGAAAGGATTTGGGTTTTATATTTTACAAGATTTCTTTACTAGTACCAGATTTTGTATGTTTTTGTAAGGTTTATGACGTAGCACCTGTCAGACCTGCTGTTTTTGATGCTGGATTTAATTTTGGTTCAGTCATAAGTGAGAAAACACATCTGGCATTCTTCTGGACTGACAACCCGTGTCCAGAGCTTTCAGCAATTTCCACCATTTGTGTGTGAGACAGTCAAAGAAAGTGACACTTTTTTGAGTGCTTGTCGCCTAAAATGAAAGAAAGGGGTGGGGGAAGTCGAGAAGTTCATTCAGTATGTTTAAGATATACCCTTCTTGCTGTGGGATATTTTATGGAAATACATTCAAGAGTTTTCATATACTGTATGCTCTGTTTGTACCATTACATTTATAAAAGCCTTTGACAGCACATTGTTGCTTTAGGAAGGGACCAAGATAACTAAAAGGTTGCTCAGTCTGTTTCAGAGAGACACCACTGCGAGATTAAACCCAACATGTCTGCAGTCTCGACATCCGATCCAAAGGCCTGGACCTTTTCTTATAGGTGGAAAAACGAGCTCAAGCTGTCTCTTTCTGCATGCTTCTCTGCCTGAGTGTGGATTTCCTCCACAGATCCTACTACTTCCACATGGGGCCAGCGTGAAACACTGATGTATATTCCCCCTCTATCAGATAACAACCACCGAGGGTTTTGAGGAAATGTTAAAAATGTGTGGCTGGCTGCCGGCCCACATCACTGGTTAGAACATTACTTGTTTTAATATTAGCTACGGAGTTTTCCCCTGTGCTCTTACTTATTTCCCATGAGTGATATAAAGAGGGATTACACTTTCTAATGTGAATTATGAAGTTCACGAGCAGAACAACCAAGTTATGTAAAGCAGGAGATGTAAAATGGCACCCGAGGTATACGATTAACACTCAAACACAAAACGTATTTATTTGGTTTATACGTCTACGTTTATAGGGTTATTTCAGGCTAAGTTGCAGAGTAGACAAATACTTAGGTAATTGCCCTTGAAAAAGTCTGGAGCCGAGACATAGATATACCATTTAAACCTGACTCTGGGTGGAAGACTTATTACCTTGTGATAAGCTTTAGTGTTTTCAACATGACATTCACAGCAAGAGAAAAGAAAGGCAGAGGTGTATTACTACCTGTTCAATATAGGGTTAATATTGAACATGATTGACATCTGAGAAGAAACTAAATGTGTCTTGGTCCATGTCAACTGAAGCTGACTCTTTATGAGCAGCAATCTGTTGTGTCTTTGTTTCCAGCTATCAAGGACAGTGGAGTCAGACAGCCTGCTAAAGCTTATATTTCTGCCTTGGTGTTTGGACCACAAAACTGTGGGAAAATGCTTAAAATAATATGTTGGTCGCTGATACTCTTCGATTAGAAATTGAATAAATGCGTTGTTTTACTTTGGTGGACTGGATTATGGGATGCGTATGACATGATCTGTTCTAATGTGATTTTAGGTCCGTTGCCTAAACAATGGTTGCGCAGTACCATTAAAAACAAAGTCTGTTTTTATCTTGCTAGGAGGACATCTAATCATGAGAATTATGTAAGACAGCATCATTGATATCTAAAAGTTGCTCTGTAATTATATTCACAGGCCTAACCCAAAAGTTTGCTGTGAATGGAAATAAAAACCATGGTTTCATTCTCTTTACCCATGAAGGATTGTTGCTTTTATGAACATAGTCAGCAAATGATTGGAAACAGACAGAAGAAGACTGACCTAAATCAAGGGGATTAGGCAAAAGGATTTAGATTCATTAAAGGGGATAAAGCAGTGACAATTGACTGGAAGCCATTTATATACTGGCACATGAATTCTGGGATGAGATGCAGGAAATGTACAGAGTCAAGGAGCACCAGGTGTTAATGTTGGCAATAGTGTTTAGGTAAAATTAGCTTTAATCAATTAAACATCGGAGCTGAAGCTTATTGATTCAGGAAATGTTTCCATCAGCATTAAAAAGATAAGTGGTCTTTAGATGCAATCAATCTGCATTGTCCTGCGTAATCCTCCAGAAAGCGTTTTGTTAAGGATTTACTTTTACGATGTATCCACTTTCCCTGGTTTTTTCTCAAGTTAGTAATTTTCTAACTTTCCATAAATTCTTCTCAGTATCCCTCAGAGGATGGACATACAAAAATACTGTTTACATAAAAAGATAGAGAGCAGATTTTTCCAGTCCAAAGAAAGTGATCCAAGGAATCCTCTTAATTTAATATTTATCATGTATTTTGGCTACACTTGTGTTCTGTCCAATGAACCTTAACATTTTCCATTATTCCACCTAACTTGATTGTTGAACATCCATGTAAAACACCACTTGTTTTTTGATTCTGACATTTAAACTTAATAGTTTTAAAGTCATCAAAGAGCTGTTGTTGCACTGGACATGTCTGAACATTCAGGTGTTTATACGTTAGCGATGCCATCAATATGCATGAGAAAATTCTCCATTAAACAACAAAAAGCCAACAAGCTGGCAAAAACAATGTTGTTTAAAGTAGATTTTTCCTTTCAACAAAGTAAGTTCTTTGTTGCGCCAAAACCTCAGGAAATGTGTGTTTAGTTTCTCATGCATTAAGAACATGTCTTGCTTGCCAGCTCCTTCACAGTATTCCTTTGAGAACAAAATTATGTTGAACCCTTTTATTTGTTTACCACAGTACTTCGGGCTATTCTGGCTAACTCTGTTCCCAAATCATTTTTGTATCAAAGACGAATTTCAAATGTATGACCTTATTACTAAATGAGTGTGAGACAGACCCTTCAAAACAGACAAACAACACCGGGAAGCTGTTTGTGTTCTGATGGGCTACATACCCGGCTGTCCTCCTGGGCCTCATACTCCGGGGTGAAGCTGTGGACCTGAGTACCGGACGTGCAGTTGGCGAACTGGAAGAGGCTGGCAAACATGCGGTGGTTCTCTGCTGTGTCGGGGAATATGGGGTCCTGGAAGTTTACTCCATGAGGAATGATGTTGTAGTTTTCATCCATCCTGCAAGGCAGAAAAGGAAGAGATTGTATTGGTTGTGAACAAATGCAAAAATGTACTTAAGTAAAAAAAAAGTGCATGTGTAAAACAGTAAAGCTGCATTTGCTATTATTTTGATTATTGATAAATATGCTGATTATTTTCTTGATTAATCAATTAATCCTACGGAAAATGTCTGTCCTAGTTTCTCATAGTCAAAGGTGATGTCTTTAAATGTCTTGCATTGTCAGTCCAAAACCTACAAATTAAGTTTATTATGATATAAAAATGGGAACAGCAGAAAATCTCCTTCAATTTAAAAAACTGCTTATCAAAGTAGTAGGAAGGCAATTATCTTCCTGTCACTTGATAAATCAATTGGTTGACCATTGGCTGAGCTCTAAACATAAGGCAGTAAGTTTGTTTCTAGTATATTTTTCTTTTGTCTGTTTAGTGTAAACCTGTACCTGTCTTCACCTGTCCTGTGATAAATTGATCACTCAATTAAAAAAACATTATGATAGAATATGTAAAGTATGTCTAATAATATGTAAAAAATGTTTCCAACAGATAGATTTTTAGTTTACCTATTCATCCATATAAGGTTGCATATTAACATATATTGGAAATTGGTAGCAGACCCTGATCTATTTTATATGCATATTCAATGTAGATGAGTCAAGCCAGCTAACTACAAGCCAAATGGATTTACTGAGCATGATTCATATCTTCTCCTCGGATGTGAAGTGTGTGAGGGAGGAAGCCTTGGAGCAGCATGTATTCAAACATCTGGATTCCATCTTGCATCCCTCGAGGGACCTCAAAAGATGGTTGTCCCCATCAGAGACCGTGTGTGCGTGTGTGAGTGTGTGTGCATCTGTGTGTTGATGGAGCTCAAAGAAAGCTGATATTTTGCTTCAACAGAAAAGGTCAGAAGTCAGGTGTAAACACAGTGACCAGGAGGTCAGAAGGAATAGTGAATCCAGAGCAACTTGTGTTGACTCTACGATGATGGAAACCTAACTAAACAGTCACATAACACTCTTTATACATTTGTAGTACATACGCAGCACATGCACAACTCAACGCATTACAAAAACTTGATTGTGAGTGTGCCTTTTTTTAAAGGGAGATATAGGCCTAGGTCTTTTTTAAAGGAAATGTATCGCTCAAGCAGAACAGTCAGCCTGTTTCATTTAAAGGTCCTGAGAGAGATCCTGAGTTGCATTTTTCTTCCTGCTAGGCTCAGATTTGTCCTGTCCTTGGAGCTTATACTCATGATTGATTGAAAATACTATTTTTGGTCTGAGATAAGTGTTGTTGGGGCTTTTGTAACAGGAAATAGATATCCACTGGAGACTGTGATGTGAACTTTTCAGTTTTGGCTTGCACATACCGAGTCTGGGACTCAGTGTTTCTGCCACAACAACACCCCTTTGAAATTCAACACTGATCTGTTTTAGGTTTGCATTTTGAGGTGGAGTCTCACATGAGCCATGGACATGAAAACAATTCGTCAGGCCATATCTAATTTCTTCCAGTTTCAAAGAAAGTTGACATTTAGTATACATAAAAATAAATAAACAAAACAAACATGGTGATACATCAATGTGTAATTCCACTAGCTAAATGAACATTTGAAGGAATAGTTCTGACATTTTGGGAAATACTATTATTCTGTTCGTTCATGAGATTGAGATGAGAACATTAGGCCTACCACTACCTCAAATGTGTAAATATAAAGCTAAAAACAAAGAGATAGTTAGCTTAACTTAGCATAAAGACCGGGAACAGAGGGAAACAGCTAGCCTGTCTCCTCCCAGTTTTAACAAAACTGCCTACCACCTCTAAAGTTAGCTGATTAGCTTGTTACATCTCATGTTCTTTTTATCCTAAAGAATCAAAAAGAAAAGTTGGACACCATCTGGGCTTTGGTTTCTTTTCCCATAGGTCTACATGACTGGTGGGCTAAAAATCTGCTGCACAGAAAAATATGCGGGAGCGACTTTCAGGAGTTGCTCTCTCCATTCCCTGGTAAACACTGGCAAAATATCTGCTTATGTTTACTGGAGCAATCATTGCGTCTTAATCATCATCAGGTCCATACTTAAACACAAGTGCTTCAGGAAGTTTCCGATGTTGGTCGCCGGGCTGATTAAGGGGATAATGTCCGGATGTTTTCAGCAACACAACAGGGGACAGCAAAGTCATCCCTGGAGGGGTTATTAACCAGAACCAGTGAAATCATCTAAATAATATTTTAGTCGTCATTAGACACAACAATACACAATCACACAATGTGAGTGTGTGATTCTGTGAATATAATGTGCAACATATGCTATAACGAATACTATTGTGGTTGGCCCTGCTGCTGCAGACCCTCATTCGGCACAGCTGAACATTAAACTTCAGGAATGTTTTTCAGTGCCCCCCTCTGAATATCTAACTCTTCATCTGTTTGAGAGAAAAAGCAGAAATATCAGTGAAGGCCTGTCAGCACACGTTTTTTCCTTCATCTAGCGGCAAACCAGTGTGTTTGAGCAGGACAAAAGGTGGTCCTATACCATCAAGCTTTTTGGGAAATGTCTGGCTCTGTAATTACACTGGCTGGAATGCAATAGACGTTTCCTGAGTAACAGGGTTGTTTCTGTCCAACACAGACATTTAAGTATTAACCTGCCACACACATCTTTGAAATATGAGTGGAGCATTTGGCAGGCTATTAGATATATTAATAACTTTAAAAGTGCTTTTGACTGCAGAATGTCTCAATATAGCCAATGATTGATTGAATCCTCCTAGGGTCCTTTCACTTCCTTCTGTGAGATCTCACACATGTATGAAGAATTTCTGCTTTTCTTTTGACAGGAGGATGGGCCAGGAGGAGGTGAGGTCAAATGTATGGATGATGTATATTGGATACATTATTTGGCTCCACATACTGTATTCTCAAGTGTACAGAGGGATTGATGGTGGATTATTTGTATGTGAAATCATTATTTAGTTTTGCCAGGGACAACTCAACATCTAATGCAGAAGATTACGTACCAAATTGCTATGCAGTTTCCTTTCCCAGTTGGTTATTATCAAAGCATTAACTTTGTCCAATTCATGGATGCATTCCAATAAATGGAGGCAGTGATTTTATACCCCAGAGTGAAAAAACGAATTTTGGTCTTAACCAAATTGACAAAGCTACTGCTGATTCTCGACATTTCTGCAACCTTTTTTAAGCATTGTCTTTACTCTGAACAGGAAATATGGGTAGTAGAGTGAAGACACCTACAGTAGGAAAAGAGAGTGCAAACCCTGGTAGGGTTAAGTTTATTTATAGTAGGGCCTAAATACATGGAATTACACTTAACTGGTAGAGTGTATCATTTGGAAATGAATGGGGAAAACAAGTTTAGAGTTTATATAACTCAAATTACTAAGGCTTCCAACTCATTTTGCTCTGGGTATCTTTGACAATAAAACATTTTCATGACTGATTAGATTAAGTGGGAATATCTAGAGTGCTCACCTTAGAAAGAAGTAGTAGTTGTTGTTTTTGGTGACACTGTAGGAGAAGCAGGTGAAGTAGCCCAGGCCAGTAACATTGAACCTGGATCCAGCAGGGACCTCCAGCATGCTGCCCCACGCCTGGTCGCACAGCAGCTCAATCTCCGCGGAGAAAAGATGCTCGTTTTCGGACGGCAGGTAGTTATCATACACATTGTAAAACTCCTTGTGCAGTTCCAACACCTTGGCAAACACTATGATCTGTGCCATCTCCGCACGGCACGCTTCTGTCTGAGGTCTCCATTCACGGGGCAGTTGACATCCCAATCTCCCATCAGCAGCCGCTGCTGCCACCATAATCGCCAAAATAATCCACATGATCCCACAGGAATAAAACGACTGTGGGTCAATCAGGCACACGATGATAACGATGCTGCAGATGAATGTAATCAAGAAAAAAAACCTGCAGTGCTTTTACTCCATGCAGATACCTCCACCAAAGCTGACTGAACTAATATTTACAGTGAATCAATACAAACAAAGGTTTTACACAAGAAAATAGTCCCAGGCAGTTGGTAACTTCTCTGCTCTCTGCGGCCCCTCTCCCTCCTCCAGCCACAATACCTGCGATCAGAGGAACAGCCCATTCAGCATCCACTGTAGAAAATGTGCCTCTGACCTTTTAAATGACACCAGCAGGAGCTAATAAAGAGTGTGCATTCATACCTGCGTGTGAAGTTTCCAGATTAAACTTTTCTGAAAATGTAAAAGAAATCCTCAAAATCCAATGTTGTGAGTTTATGGATTTACTGCAACAAAGAACAGTATTTAAATCCCAATGAAAACAATGACTAACAAAGACTAACTTTAGTATGCGGCAGTGGCGCCCTCTATGGACAATAGCACATGGTCTATTTTTCTGGCTAATGCTCTTTTAATTATGTTAATACTGCAACCATTTTCGGTATGGTACTTCAGGCATTCAGGCGTCAGTGACTCCAATGTTGATGATGGACCGGGAAAATCTATACCCTTAAACTCATCTCATCTGATGGGAGTACAATTAGGATTGTGTGTATGACACATAATCATAGGCGTCATTTGGACTGGGGATGATGGGGACATGTTCCCAATCCCACCACTTTTTAAAAGTATAATTTATAAATGTTCTGAAAAATAACATGCACAAAGAAATGTAATAAACAAGAACACTGGTTTAGTGTCAAGATGTTCAATTTGGACATGTAATTAGACTTTTAACAGAAAATGTAAAAAACTAACATTTCTCCCACTTTGACCTGCACTTAAAAAAAAAAGTCAACAAATATAATTCCTCCTTACTATTTTGACTCTAAAATGACCCAAAAACATGCTTGCAGCAATGTTGTTCGACCTGTTTGCCTGAAGTAAATGTTGACTTTTTGGTTTATTTTATTTTCAGAGAGTACCAGAATGCGTATGTTAAATCTGGAAAATTGTCCCCACCACTTTCTAACAAAGTGACGCCCTTGGACACATTTGTCATTTGTCATTTGTGAGTGATATTGTTACGCTTGCGTCCTTTTAAAAAAATATATTCAACTATTAGAAGTGTGTGCAGGCTACACTGTGACAGAGAGGTTGCAGCTCAGTATGGACAGATAGTTTGACATTATGTCATTCTGGGGTTTATCTGATTGAAAGCTGGAAAACGTAATGTAATGTAATGTAATGTAATGTAATGTAATGTAATGTAATGTCTCAGATAGAATAATACAATTATCAAACTTCTTATTCCCTATAAGAAGTAAGACTCTGGATTAGCCCGATTACGGATCGGAAGTTTCTAGGTTCAACTGGCTCGCCAGTTTCAACTTGTAGTCTTTAATATTTTGGCATGTCATTACATTCAAATAGAAGATTATTCAAACATAGTTTTTGAACACCGTCTTAAAGCTACAGAAAATGCAGATGTGTATATCAGGACATATTTATCTCATTAATATCTTGTCTTAAGTTTATTTATCCAAACTTGATCTATATAACTTTATCAACAGGAATTTGACTTTTATTATGTATGTTTAAATATTGTCTATGCAGTAACAAGGTGGCAGCATTATCAAGAATCAAGTTTTTAATGTCTTGAGCATGAAAGTACAGTTGGTCTCTATCTCTGCGTTTTAAATAATCCTTTTAAAAGTGTTTCAAAAGTGCTGATTCTCTGTCTGTTACTTTAGATGAAAATAAGGAGCCACTCCCCACGCCCTTCTGAGAGATATTTGGTTAAAAATAACACAATGGTGCTCAAGGAGGAGTTTCAGGTGATAAGGGGGGGTGGGGGGTTACCTTGGTTGGTGATTGGCTAATGGTTACACAAGCCAAAAAAACGTTATGACATCATAAAGTGGCCAACATCTGATCAGCTCATTTTCAGACAGGTTTTTATATAAATGGATCAGGACAAAAAGTGAGCAAATCTTCTTTCCTGAAACCTTCAGAGTCTCTTAACGCAGAGGGGACACATGTTTATGTATAAAATACATGAAAAAGTGGATATTGCACAATAGGTGACCTTTAAGTTAAGCAGTTTTGTTTTAGTCATAGGGAATCAAACGTCAAGAAAATGTATATTGTTCAACAAAGTTTCTACTTTTGAAATTGACCTTTAATAATAATAATACTAATAACTCTGCACTCTTCAATGTAATACAGGCACAACAGGCTCTCATCACTCTCGTAAGACCTTTAAAACACTGAATACTGATAGTCAGGGTATGAACCCCTCACACTCCCCACTGCAAAGTACAAACCCATTGTCCCCGTTGGAATGATCCTCAGAGCGGGGTGGGCGTGGGGATTTCTCAGGTGACAAACACAAAGTTCCCAGAGTTTTTTAGGGGGGCTCAACAGTCAACAGTGTGAGAGATGAAGAACCTGCATGAGGACATGGCTGCAACACTACTGACTCTAATGCTCATGATACCCTACATATGCGAGGGAGGTGAGTTTTTTTATGACACAGAATGACTGAGAAAATGCAACCTTGCTGCTATTATCTGAACAATCATTATGTCTCCGGTACCTGTTTATGTTTAAGCACTGCTGAGGAAATCCACAGCGATGGACTTCCTTCAAAAAACAAGAGAGAAGCGTGATTCTGAGTGTTATCCCAGAGGCTGCAGCTCAGAGGCCAGTGAGTCTGGAGAACTGATGGAAACAGAACATATTGGATATGTAAGTTTTACTGTCATTTGTACTTTCTTTCCCAATTGCCTTTTTATATAATCTTAAATCATTTAATAATCTGCTGTTGTGTGGATGAATAGGCTGTTAAACCAAGGTTATCATTGTTTTTTACATATTCAAAACCTGCAATTTCCACACTGATAACAAATACTATTATGTTGAGACAGTTGGGTGGTCAATGTTGTAGCAATAGAATGTAGCATTATTAGAATGTTTTTAATGTATTAATTTGACATTGAATTAGTCTTGTTTTTTTCATGTTTTGGTGGATCACAATCATGTTGTTCAATGATGTCCTACTAATGTGATTCAGTGTACAGATCATGTAAACAAAAGTGAAAAAGTGCCATCAATCTGTGTGGGTATCTGGGTCTTTGCATGGTAAGGGATTATGCGCATGAAACTATGAATAAGACCATGTGTGTCCAAAACCTGGACTCCAGGGATGAGAAGCGTTCCTCTGTTCGACAGGGATAATGTGTAACATAATCAAGCAAGTCACTGAGGCGTCCACCATTACCGTGTTCGTACTTGCTTGCAATGAGGAGAGAGAGTGAAGGCAGGCCATTAACATTGACTCTGTTACTAAGTGCACCTGCTGCTAATATCGGGTGACAGCATGAAAGCCAGCAGAGAGGTGGAATGTGATCAACTAGGATTTCTGTCATTTTGTAAGACGTTTAGGTACATGTTGTTTCTTTGTTGCAAACAATGTTGTTCCATAAACCATTTTCAGTTTGTATGGATACTATAAGCAACTACAGCCTGGTTTTGTTGTAATGTATGTATTACATTTGGAATAAAATCTAACAAACTTATTTATAGGAGGAGAATTCCAGCCTGCTGTATGATGGGGCTGCTACTCAGGAAGGAATACACAATGTAAGTTTGGTTTTATATCTTACCTACATTATGTTGTTATTTATAGATACATATTAGTTATTTTACACAAGAAGTTTATGGATAAACGTATAAAGCCTAAAATCACTTTTGCCTTGTAGGCGATCCCTGGAGGGGAGTCTATGGCGAATGAAGGATCTGGGATGTAGCCAAGAGGGAAAGAGCAACACGACGATGTTGTTGGTATGGAGGGAAGCTCAGCTTTCCTAAATGCCTCCTGATACCAAGGGCAACTTTGATTGATTGTATATCGGTGAAAAGCATAGCAACTAGTAATACACTATAAAAGTCAAATACAAAGTTTGACCACTTAAATAAGCCTTTGAACAAAGGGTTTATACAATTAACATGATTTGTTTTAAGGATGAATTTGCATGCTCTATTTACTTGTTGTTTTAATTTGTTAACTCCAATTGTTATTGTTTTATGTTTAGCACTTGCTGTCTTTGGTTATTACAGTTCAGCATGTGACTTGATACTGAGTTTGAAAATAAAAAGTAGTTATCCTTGTTAGAAATTATGTTTAAATAAACATAAAATATCTTTATCAATGTATCCATATTAAATACGTTGTCCAGTATATTATAACTTCTAAAATATGTGAGCAACTATTCAGCTTATACACGTTTCAATAAATAAGATGTATATGTTATGCATGTTTTCTGTTTGTTAATTAAAGGGTCTTTAAGAATTAGTGGTCTGTAAGACATTTATCTCCTGGGAGTTTAGGATTCTTTTTTTTAGGAGGTTTTAAACCTTTGTGTATAGGTCTCACTTTGCAATTTGAACCTGTGTGTCTGGTATGCAGTGTTGTTGTATTGGTATCATTATTAATCCATCAAGTTAAAACAATACAGGGAAATGGCACTAACCTTCTGATTAATAACTTTAACTATTCACACACTACAGTCATGGCCTGTATCCTGTTGCATTTCATGAAGATGTGTACACTTTAGTTGTTATCTGAAGCAAATAGGCATATCTTTGCCCTCTGTGTAGTTTCTATTTATAAATCAGAGGAATGCACAAATCGCAAAGATGATCCATCTGTTTGTTTGTTTTCTGATTCCAAGTGTTTCACATTTGAAGTAGGCCTACTCTTACTTAAAATCTACACGACATACAGCTGACGTTCCTATGTCACATGCTGATCACGGGCTTGGGCGGTCACTGTTTCCTCGCATAACTGGACAGTTGATCAAACCAATTAATGGAGGTTGTAATGAGACAAATATAAGGACCAACATTTTCTATTTTAATTACTAATTTGGATATTTGCAATGTTTTCAAGTACAATCTACCTTCTGTTTTAAGTTAATGTTATGCGTTAATAATTGTAGCTATGCACAAGAGGCAACGGGCTACTGCCTCTTTAATGCTGCCTTCAAGTTCTCATCGTAAAATCAACCTTTTCCACTTCAAGTAGTAATTATTAGTACTTTCCTTACTTGTAACAACATAACCGATCAATTGAGCTCTTTTTGAATTATAT